GGAGAGGGCTGAGGGCGCCCAGGCCAAGGAAGGAGCCAGGAGGGTGCTCAGAAGGGCAGGGAGCGGGAAATGCAGGCGGGATGCAGGTAGGAGCCGGAGAAGAGGGTCCCATCTCAGCCCTCTGGGCAGCGGAGAGCGGGGCTCACTTCTGAACCCAGGTGGCAAAGGACATTCTCCCCCACCCAGCAAAACTCCCCCACGGCTGGGCACCCCTGGCCCACATGTGTCTCCTTGATCCAAGCAGGGTCCTGCCTCCAGTGCAGAAACATACTGGGGGATTCAGTCGGCGGGATGGAGACTTGCAGCATAGGCCAGAGATTTTCACCCGGGTGCTGCTGGGTCTTTTGAAGGGTGCCCAGACCCTTCAAGTGATGAGGAGGACCCTTGAGATTGGATAGGATGGTTTGGAGAGGGATGGCAGGGGGTTGGGCTCAATCAGCATTTCTCTACCCGTGAGTTGTGACTCAAAAGTGGGTCGAAAGACCATAGGGAAGGGTCACAAACAAACTTTAAAGTTGGACTCTCCTTTAAAGGAGGAAAACCTGGGAAGCTGTGGCTTTTCCCTTGCAGGCTGGCAGAGCTCCAGCCTACCAGGGGGCCCCACATGCCCTTCCCCCTGCCCCACACACTGTGGGGGAGGGGGAGCTGGGGCATGGAGGCAGTGGGTCAGGAGTGAGGGGCACTGGGTCAGGACTGGCCATCTACATTTGCAAATGGTCCTGGTACAAAAAAGGTTGAGAACCTCTGGACTAGATGACCTCTGGAGAGCCCTTCCAGCCCTGCTTCTCCATGGTAGGAAAGGTGTGAGGAGATGAGCAAATAAGCCAGGCTGAGGTTTGTCCTTGCCTGGCCACAGGAAGGAGGTGAGCACTGTAGCCTATCTATACATCTTACTTTTTAAGAAATTGAGTGCCACTCAGTTCACAAAAGTTATGGAAAGTTGCCTCAAGTCCAGTGAGGTTAACCACAGGCATGTACTCTTTTATCAGAGACGTCCCCCATCCTCTGCTGTTCTAGTCCTGAGTCTCTTATCCATTGAAACAGTTAGCAGTGTTTGGGCAAGTGCTAAGAACAAAAATGAGACCACAGTCTTTTCATGCACTGTTGTAGGCATGATTTGAACATAGGGTGGTGAAACCCAACTATATTAACTTACTGTAACATCTAACTTATTCAGTTGCAATCCACATAGTTCACCTGTGTTATATAATAAAATTAAATATACTTTGCACTTTCTGGTAAAAGGGCCAGACCCACGTTTTTTGTAGTACAGTTTTAGTATCTTGGATGTTAGTACAACGTAACTGAAATACACCAGAATATGTGGTTTTGCATTCATATGATTGCTGCTTTTTACATCTGGGATGGCACTGCAGGAGATAGTGCTGTTGTAAAACTTCAGTGAGACATGCCCTCACTTTTCCACCACTGGTGACCACTTCTGCTGCACACTATGGAGAACAAAAATCCCGCCTGTTTTATAGAAGAGTAGAGGCACAGCCAGAACCGCTGAGTGACTCTCACTGCTTGCTTACAGTGCCTCCTAATTTCCTGCATTACCTCCAGCCAAGAGCAGGAGACCCAGCAGCTGTCATTGCATTTGATGCTGGGGGAAGTGTAATGAAGTAGTCTGCAAAGGGTGTGGCCCTGCTGTGATGAGAGAAACATCCCTGTTCTTGCAAAGGATTTTTTTTTTGTGGTTTTAGGCTAGGGTTTCACACGTGGCAGTGTATTACATGCATTTCTACACCTTTTCTTTTAAAATGTGAAATATGAGGGGAAAAAGCTATCAAATGAAAGCCATGTCAGAAATTATAATGCCTTAAAAAGATATGGGAGGCAGGGGGGAAGTCCAATAGTTCATTTGCTTTGTTTTATGCATTTGAGAGCAGTTTCACTGCCTTGTGTGTGACCGCTCAGTTAGATCTCAGTTCTGCAAGTTGGTATATAGGGTCTGATCCACCCATCTGCGCAGAACTCTGCTGACCTTTTTGTAGCATCCCACATGAGTGTAAGGCTCTGCTTACATGGGTCAGCTTGCAGGATCAGTATGGGGTCTTAGCCATTTTCTCATGTCAGGTCTTTCGCACACCAACGTATGTAGGAAACACAGACACAATGAAAATACAGTTGTAATGGTACAGGGAAGGTATAGTCTCTGTAACTAACTTTAAATTCAGTCTCTCATGCTAACTAGATTTCGGATTCACAGGATACTGACAAAGTTCACAGGCCCACAGTTAATCTCATCTAATAGTTTTTACCTAGCTTAAACAAACCAAAAAATAAATCACAGTTTGAAGGAAGGGATAGATTAAGTTGGGCATGAGTGTACAGAAATATGGTACATAACTCAGTGAAGAGCCTAGATGCCTAGATTGTGCATATAATTCTGTATGTTCCATGGCACTTATTGTTTCAAAATCTAAGCACCTCGCAGACTTCCCTTGCAACATCGCTGTGAAGAATGGAAGTTTTGTTTTCCCTATTTGATTGCTAGGAAAGTGGCATGGGCAGGTTAAGTGATTTGGCCTTGATCACATGGAAAGCCTGTGGCAGCACCAGCAATTTGGGTTCTGCCTTTGAAGTCCCAGACCGGTTTCTGAAACAGAAACACATTCTTCCTCCCCCTATGGAGAGAAGGCATACACTGCATTGTTCATAGCTGGCAGGAGTGTTGAACAAATGGTAATCCAGATCTATGAAATATTTGGCACAGAATTCTTCCCAACTTCTATCCTCAGTTGACTCACCAGACAGAAGCTGTCTACAAGATCAGACAGACTAAGGCTTTATACAGACATTACAGCTAGAAGTTCTGGGGGTTATATTGGATTAAAAATGTTTCCCTGATTTAACTCCGTAATTAAATAGGTGCTGGGGGCCTGATTTGGGGGGCTAGCAGGGTCTGCAGAGGGCTGGGGGTGGGGATAAGAGAGGCTCTCTGATCCTTCCAGTCCCCCGGATTGAAGTAAATTGGGGTGAGAGGGGGAGAGGAGTGCAGACGGACTGATGGCTTTGCAGGGGAGGTTTGGTGGGAGGGGAACCTCTCTCCCCTCCAACCAGGGAATATTTTTAGCCCTCCTAATCCCCCACACCCAGACAGACAACCCCTCTCCAAGCAAACCAATCCCCCCTGGCCCTCCCCACACCCCAGTCTGCTTCAGTCAGCTCCCTGTACAACTAAATGCTGGTAAAACTGGCTCCAGGAACAGTTTGCAGGATCAATGTGTTGGTGGGGGAGGCTGGTTGGTTCATCTGGTGGTGAGGGGGTGCGCTGAGGGGCTAAAAAGAGTCCAGTGCTGAGCAGGGAGAGTGTAGGAAAAGCACAGCCCTGGGGCTGGGATGAACACGTAGTGGCCAGGCTTTCCCAGCCCTGGGGCTGTGCTCAGAATGTGTACAGAAGTTCAAATAGATTGGTTTAGCCAAACCCAATCTAACTTAGTGCATCTCTGAGGTACAGTTAAATTGGATCAGATTGGCCATTTCTTGGCTGATCTAACCTTCCTGGAACTTCTGTACAATTTGCACTTAGATTGACATAAGTAAGGATCCAAGGGTAAGGCCCACATGGGGGCAAACTAAGTTAGATCAGGTGGCCATTTTAACACTATCTAACCTCCCCCTAACCTCCCTGAACATCTGGATGTACCCTTAATCACATGCACACCCATTTCTCTGTTGCTAATGGGCAAGGGTACTTACCTGTATCTGGAACCTCTAAGACTGCTGCAGACTTCAATTTGCAGTGATTTTTTAAAGATTGCGACAGATACAGTATATTTTTCAATAGTGTTTTGCTTCAAAGGAAGGCAATAGAGAAAATCCTTGGTGGTGCCCCTTTTTTCCATTGCTTATGAGGTTTCCATTGCTTATGAAAAAGACACCATGGTTGTTAGAAGTATCAGCATCACTCCATCTAGGTTGAAAGAGTATTTCATTTGAGATTTTCAAAGTTAGTGAGAGTTGGTTGTCTAATTCCCTCAGGCTCCTTTGAAAATCCCAGCAAATCCTGACAATCATAGAAATACATACAGAACTTTAGGGTTGGAAGACTCAGCTGTCCATACAGATGCAGAATTTTCTGTTCCTAGAGTATCCCAGACAGCTGCTTATCCAGTCTCTTGAAAGAAGAGATTCCACATCTTCTCTAAGCAATTTGTTCTAGTTTCTATCACTTACAGTTAAAAAGTTTTTCCTGAGACTTGATTTGTACAATCAGTTGCCTTCATCTCTGGGTTTCTCCAGACAGAACCATAAGTTTTATATAGTGCTCTCTAGGCAGAGCCGTCCCTTGGGTACAGCGAATTGGAGCAACCACCTCGGGCCCCATGCTTTGGGGGGGGCCCACAGAGCCGGGCAGAGCAGCCACGGCCCCTCCTGTGGGGCCTGCCTGCAGCTGGCAGCTCAGCCCCGCGCCATGGAAAAAGCACGGAGACCCCTTCCTCCACTTTGTGGGGGTACCCTGGCCCTGTGCAGTGTTAAGGGGACCGTGCACAGGCTGACTTGTCCTGGGCCCCAAATCCCTCTAGGGTTGGCTCTGTCTCTAGGAGTCAGGTACACAAAGAAAGTTGTAATTAATTAGTTGTTATGGAAGCTCCAAGTTCTAAAAGGAAATAATCATAAAACTGTTGCATGTAGGGGGTGGTTAACTTTTGGTGTGCATTTCTTAATGCAAAATAGAGCATGTAGATCATGCTGTGTTTCAGTCAAATACTTAACATTATGCTAAGTCTGTTCTTCTGTTGGCACTTAAGAGCAAAAAGGCTTGGTATTAATTAATTGCTGCACTCCACTATAGAATACTGCACTCTACTTATACAGCACTTGCTGTACAGACCATTTCGGGGAGCACTCCCCCCTTTTTGGTCTTCTGCCATGCAGTGCCATTGTCATAAGTAAGAGTTATATAACCTCATCGCTTTTCACATCAGCTGTAGGAGGAGAAAGGAAATGATGTGGAAAGTTGAGTCACAGTACAATGTTCGGAGGAGCCAAAATTTTCTGACATAATACATACAGTCATAAGATGGCTGGTAAAAGGGAAAAAAAAAGGGTTGGCAGATAAAGAATATTTGTCTGTTTTATTCACAAGATTAAACCTTTTGAGGATGGACTCTATTTTATGCCTCTCCATCCAGAAGTAGCTGGCAAGAGACTACACCTCTTTTTAATGAACATGAATTATCATTTTGAATTTGGGTGGTTGCAAGAGGCTTATTAAGGGGCTAGTTAGCTATTGTTTAGAAAAAAATGAATAGAGACTGTAACAGGGTAGGTAAGATTAGAAACTAGTCCAGCTTGACTATTATGTGCAAGGGAGTGACTTTAATTTACACAAATAGCATGGAGTCCCTCAAGAATATGCAAGTAGAGAACTGGTTTAACAGAACTACAGTCCATCTTTCCCCAACACTCCTGCTCCTATGTCAGAAGTCTCTTTCCATCAGTAGAGGGTTCCCCCTTCTATGTTGATGAATTACCTGTTGGTCACCACTGAGCATTTTTTTCTCTAGTAATTTTATCCCTTGGGTGGTACAGTTTGATCTTGGCAAACTGGATAAACTCCCTTTTACAGTACTTTTTGAAGACAAATTAATTAACAGGGTGATTTTACCAGCTTAGTTTAATTTTGATATAGATTCTATCTGTAGCTGAGTTAAGTGTGTAATGGTTTCCTTGCATTGTATAAGATTTACAGACATCTAATAGGTGACATGTCAGTGTTAGTGCTACAGAAAAAATAAGCTTGGTACAATGGCATAATCAGAATAAAAGATCACTGGTAGTAGCTTAGAATAATATGATTTTGTAGATTTAATGGCCATAGCCACACGGGTGTTTGTGAAGGATTGTAACCCCAATTCTTTTCCTACTTGATTTATTTTTAGTTTTGTATAGCTTTTAGGTCACACACTATTAAAGAGGCAAAATACTTATTTTTAAAGACTGAGTTGAGAGGAAACCAATGATGTTATTTTTGGTTCTGTGTAATGTATAAAAGCTGGAGTAAGGGGGCCTTGACCTTTTGGGGGGACTGTAGTGTTTAATCGTGTCTAGCTTCCCAAGTTGCTTTTCCACATTTTTTTTTTATTACAAACATCAGGTTTTGCTTTCCCTGATATTTCAGAAGAACTGAAGAGCCAATAAAAGTTGTTACATCAGAACAAATTAAATTGAAAACTTAAGCAATTAAAAGGAGTTTTTGAGCAGAGATTATGCCTGTTTATCTCAAAGTCGTGTCAAGTTTTTGGGATAAATGTTTGTTTTTCTTGAAGAGGTAAGGGTGCTTGGCTCTTCAACCACAGGCTGAGAAAGTTCCCTCTCTAGTTCATTAGTTCTTTAGCAAACACAAGGAATAGTGGTAATATTTTCCCTAGTATTTCTAACATTAAAAAATAAGTGGACTTAAAAAGGGGGGGCGGGGAGAAAATTCTTACCCCTTTTCTGTGTACCAAGAGAGAAAGGGGGGGAAAAAAAGAAAAAGGTTAAAAGGTGAGTAAAGCCACATTTCTTTTGCAGGCTGTCTTGAAAACCTCAGGGTTACTTGGTCCAATACATAGTAAATCAGGGGTTTGTATAGAATCCCATTGGAGATTTTTCAGCAGCAGCAAAGCGAGCAGCTGCATTAACCCCCATGGCTCCCCAAGCCAGCGCCAGCACTGCCAACCTGCAGCGCTTAATGCTGACATTGCTTGTCATGCTGCCAGAAGTGTATCTGGATCTGGCACATGAGGAGCCCTATGATCCAGGTCCAGCCTGGGGGGCCGAACACATCTGATATCCCTCTAGTAAGTCATTCAGAGCTTGCATTCAAGAGCACAGCTCTTATCCAAACCCTGCAGTTCATGCTCAGTTCAGACCCCCACTGAGGTGAAGGAAAGTTCAGTCTGAGGCCTTAATCTTGTCAACATGCATATGGGTCATTTAATGATTAATTAGTAACTTAATTGACTAAGTCAGTAAGAAGTGTTTGTGGGATCCGAAGCAGAGAGAAGACTTAAAGACTCAAAACTAAAAAGAAAAAAATCTTATTCAGTGAAATGATCTAGTTATTAGATAGATGAGCTACCCTGAAACAGTGCATCAGACATGACAGATTGTGTGGTAGTTCTCATTATTATATACCTCAGGTGTGCTACACAGATGGAGGCAAGATAGCAGGCATTACTCAGCACTGCTACATACCCAAAGCCTAAAGGTATTGTAGGTAATGAATTCCACTGAAGCCAGTGGGAGTTTAATTGCTTTTTATTTTCCGTTATGTTAATTTAGTGCTTGTGATGAATACCATCTTGGCAGCTTTGGAGACTCAAATTGGTTTTTATACATGGACTGGGAACAGCAGACATAGTGGCAGTACATTCATGTGCCCACACCCTAATTCTAAGGTGAAAGGGTGCTTCATTTTCATGCTCATTCAACCTTTGTCCTTTTTGCTGCTAGTGCCAACAACTGTGTCCACTAGTGCCAGCTGTGAGCGTCATTTTCAGGATGTAGACACTGAACTGGATTGAGACCACCAGCTCATAGTACAAAGGGCCCAGGTCAGCCTGTCCAGCAGTAACAACAGAGGGCACTAAATAACTGAAATATTTTAAAACTAGACACATATTATCATCATACAACACAGTTTGGGAGAAATATAAAAACTAAAGCTAGCTTAGAAAATGAAATATAATGAAAGTCCTAGATATGTCATTACTACTTTCATTCCCCAGTCCATCCTCCATTTTTTTCCTTTAAAAGATGCCCTGTCTTATATAATTTAACACTCATTTATTGTTCAGTTATCATCCATTCAATCACTCTGATTTAAAGCTTAAATTGATAAAGATGCTTTTAAAAAAGTGAACTTACAGAGGCCCCAGGCCCACGGTACATAAAGCAAAATTCTTGCAGAAGCTGGTGTAAGTTTTGTCCGAATAAGGACTTAAGGCCTGTTAGATTGAGTCCAAGAGAAATAGGATTTGATGGTTTGAGGGCCAAGTCAAAGGATTTGGATTCAATACCACAGACCTCCTGGGAGACGCTGGGAATGTCACTTTTGTGGAGCCGGTCCCTAGTTTACCATTTGTAAAATGTCATAAAAGTACTTCCCAACCTCAGCACAGGGTCGAGAGGCAGGAAACATAATGGATTCTGATGTGTTTAGCTTTTACACTAATGGAAGCTATAAGTACCTTTGAGAGATGCATAGGATGTCATTTTAAGCTATAATATATGTGGATTTCTGTTTCAGGTACAGTCCATTCAAGCTACAGTTGGGGATTTTGAATCCGCGATGAAAATAGGTCAGCAGAAGCAAGAAGTTACAGAGAAGACTGTTAAGCAAGGGGAGAATGAAATAAATCGCATCAGTGAAGTTCTTGAGAAACTACAAAATGAAATCTTGAAAGACCTGTCTGATGGCATCCATATGGTAAAGGACTCAAGAGAGCGAGACTTCACGTCTCTTGAAAATACTGTGGAAGAGAGACTAACAGAGTTAACCAAATCTATAAATGATAACATTGCTGTATTCACAGAAGTCCAGAAAAGGAGCCAAAATGAAATCAGCGATATGAAAACAAAGGTTGCTTCAATGGAAGAAAAAGACGCATATAAACATGAGCTAAAGGTGCTGAAAGATGCTCTTGATGATGTGCAAGCATCCATGGAAACCAAAGAAAAGGACATAGAGTTGCTGAGAAGTACAATAGATTCAATGGAATCTGATGTTTATACTGAAGTCAAAGAACTAGTTAACCTCAAACAGGAACACGAGAAATTCAAAGAGGCTGCAGACACTGAACATCTTTCATTAAAAGCTTTACAAGAGAAAGTTCTTAAAGCTGAAGAATCCCTTACACAGTTCCCTGATGAGATTAAAAGACTTGATGAAGACTTACTGCATATTAAAGCCAACCTCAAACAGGATGTAAACGAACTCCCAGAAAACATACCAGAAATCCTTGAAAAGAATCAGGAAAGGTTTGAACCCAGGTTCAGACATGTAGAAGACAGTCTTGAATCCCTGACTTCAGCTACCATTCAATACATTGAAAAGATGGAATCCCTTCTTTCTAGGCAGGAGGAGCATGAGAACAAGCTAGCTTCCTTAGAGGAAGGCATTACAGCTCTACGGGGCACCTCAGGTGCTGATACAAGTTCAATATCAGACGCTCTGAGAAGTCTCAGTGAATCTCAGATTTCATTGTTCAATGATATCAATGAATTGAGAAGAAGTGTAAGTGACCTCCCAAACTCTGCTGATGCCCTTCAGAACATCCAGAAACAAGTTAGGGCTTTGCTGGATCAAGAAAAGCCTCAGATGGATCAAGCACAACCTCAAGAGTATATAGAAAAGCTGTCTTCTGTGGAAGGCTCTGTCAGTGATTTAAGGTCTTCTGTCAGTCAGGTCGATACTGACTTGAAAATGGTCAGAACTGCAGTAGATAGCTTAGTTGCTTATTCAGTGAAAATTGAAACTAACGAGAACACCCTGGAGTCAATGAAGACCACAATAGATGACCTAAGGAATGATCTGGAAAGATTATTTGTGAAAGTAGAAAAGATACATGAAAAGATTTAAGGAACAGTGCTAATTAGGCAAGTATTGGATTTTTTTAGAAAATTAGCTTTTGTATGCCCCCTCCTTTTTATTTTTTTACTCTTTTTAAAGATGAGTTGACACCTCCAAAAGAAAACAAGAATGCTTTTACAGTCGGATACAGATCTGCTCATTTCCTGTACTTTTCTTCTGTGCAGGGTTTTTTTAAGTTTCACAGGGGTTTAAATTACTAAAGGCTTTTTTAAATCTAGAATGATATTTTGCTTCAACTGTCCTGTTTTAGTTAGTGATACAGCCCCTTTGCAACTCCAGCCATCAGACAGCGTGGTCTTAGTTATAATGATATAAGGGTACTTTAAAAAAGTACAGCTATTCCTATAGAAAAAGGGGAAAAACTGCTGGTGTAAGGCACCTTTATGTTCACACATGCTAGAGCAGTGATTCTCCAAGTGCTGTTGCACCCCAGGTTCCATTGATAGCCATTTAAAGATGCTGTGGGGTGCCATGCAATACTAGCACCATTAAGTGTGCAAGCATGATTCACAAGATAAGTCCAGAGATTTCAAATAGGAATCCATTCTGACCTGCTGTAGTCTTTGATTTCTTTGCAACAGAAGAATTGCTCTGTTTTATTTCTGTAGTAAAAAACTGAGTGAAACCTAAGAGCTGACATTTGTCAAGGGATGCCTTGAATCTAAAAAAGCTGGGAACCACTGCACTAGAGCTTTTACCAATTTAACTGTTTTAGTTGAAGAACAAAGTTTACACACCTAAGCAAAATACTCATATTGGTAAAAGTTAAGTATAAGCTAAGCCTACAACAACCCATCAGTCTCTGCAGTTTCCAGTGAAGGTAAAAAAGGACTGACTGCTATGCATACACAGTTGCATACAGGAAAACCCACAGAGGGAGGGAAAAGGCAGGGCAACCATAGATTCTAGCTTCCTAAAAGCCTACAGTGAGTACCTTCCCCCAACACCTGCAAACCCCCAGGTACAGACTGTCTGCTGGACAGAGCAATCTGGGCATGAGGATGCAGTTCACTGTCACTCAGAATTCAGAGTGCACAGTAAGATTTGGTCACGTTCCTTTGGTGTTACTAAGATTATTTGGCAGATTTTTCCCTTCAAGTCCTATTTTCCCATTTGTAACATCACCTTTGGTTGTTGTGGGGATGATCTGGAGTGTGGACAAGGAAAACTAAAACAAAAATCCTGTTTTCATCTATATGAACCATGCTATTAAAAAAAATAGAGAGAGAAAATACAGGATGGCATTAGCAGAATTGCTTCTAAATATAATGCCTCTAAAGATTTCCCCTGAGGTCACAGTCACTTGAATTAGTATCACTGTATTATTTTGTGTAAGGGCTGTACCAGAGTCAATGGGAGTTTGCCAGTGATGTCAGTGAAACAGAATCAAGCCTCACACTGGTTAAGAAGCAGAAAATGTGTTAGATATTTAGAGCACACTAAATGTTGCTGTTCATGTGAAGAACCACTTAGACATGGAGCTTTCGGTTTTTGTTTTTTTAACGTATTGGAAAGGATTTCTGATGTTAGTTCTTGCTAAAGTTTTCAAATGTTGTATAAGTATTTTAAAAGGTGTCTACACATAGATGCAGGTCATTCTGAAGATGAGGTTATCTGAGAATATAGTGCCCAACCTGCATTAGGTACTTGGCTGCAGTAGAAAATAAATTTATACAAATAGCACCTCTGAAAAATGGTATGTTACTGGGGACAGCCTGGGCAAAAAGGACTCTTTTAGGTACATAAGAATAAGACATTCAACCAATTTTAAGGATGTTCCCACTGCATATCGTAAGAGGTTGCTAACTGTTCAAAAAGCCTTAATAAGTAAGAAGGATGCACTATACTGAGATAGTATTGTTGTGTTTCCTTTTGAGCTGCACTGTTCCTTGTTGACTTTTCCTTTCAATTTTTGAACAACTGTTTAGATTACTGTGAAAAGAACTGTATGGCTTATTTGCAGTATTTTTAATACGTAATAAACACTTGGAACTTTTGATTTTTTTTCCCTCCTGTGTTGCTTACTTTCACTTTCAAAAACATTTCCTGCAGAGAATAGCTGGGAAGAGGGGTGGAACAGCTTCTCACTTTTTCTCTGGAGTCTCAGCTTTCATATTAAAAGGAGATCCCCATTATAGTTCCAAAGACAACCTTAAAAATGCTGACCTATACCATCAAAGCAGCACTGTCTTTGAGTCTTCAGAGAACTCGAAACAATAGCTTCCAGGAGTGAAATACATTATTCATTTCAGTGCTGACTCAGTCACAGCACTGATGCTTTCAAATGTCAATGTTGTTGACAATTTCAGTGCGGACAGCCAATGAAACAAGTGTCAAATGACATAGATCAGGGTGGCCAGCCTGTGGCACAGGTGCCACAAAAGGCCCAGGCACCCTCTGTATGTGACATCTGACAGATCAGGGAGGGGACAGGTGGCAGTCACGGCAGGAAACAAAGCAGCTAATCAGGGAGGGAGCAGAAAGCAGAGCAGTAGATTAGACAGGGGAAGGGAATCAGAATAGCACTTGGGGAGGGTGTGGGACTAGTTTGTGGCACACCTGCCATAAAGGTTGGCCTGCACAGCTAAATCTATACAACTTGTCTTAAATGGCTGCTTGTGTTCAAGGATTTTTTTTGTTATGGGGAATGCAGCTGGTATTACTTTCAAAAAGTTCAGCTTAAAAACTTTGGGAAATGTTGATTTAAGTGTTCCCCTTATACAAAAAATAAATATAAACCCAAATTTTATAATGCAAATCTCTCTGAATTTGGGGAATTTCAACCCAGATTTGAATATCACAGCTCACCTCTGTCTTGGAATGATCAGAATTAGAAACCAAACCCCACCACAGATCTGAACCTGTCCCTTTTCCTACCACAAGCTTCAAGAATCTAAAATATAGGTCAGAATTTCACAGCAAAGAACCATCTCAGGGGCTCTCACAAGTAGTAGTAGTAGTACAAACAATTTTTATTCTGTCTTTAAGAATGCCCTGGTAGTGTTTTTCAAATGAGGAGATTCACTATTGATAGAGTCCACTCCTCTTATTTACAGCACAGCTGTTCTGATAGAAGGTACCACCAGTAGAACAGTTGCTGCTAAGAAAATGAAAATTGCACTTTTCTATGCTATGTTCTACCTAGACCAGGGGCCGGCAATTATTTTGGGCGGAGGGCCACTTACTGAGTTTTGGCAAGGTATCAAGGGCCGCATGACAGGCAGCCAGGGGCAGATAAATACTAACTACCTAAATTTTTTAGGGGCCCTGTGGGCTGGATAGAATGGCCTGGCGGGCCTCATCCAGCCTGTGGGCCGTGTCTTACCCACCCCTGACCTAGACTGATGTCCATAATAGTGTTATACCAAAGGATTAGCGATCATTTTAAGGGCTGACCCCTCATGAAACATAACGTTTCAAGTAGAAATATGTGTACCACATATGCAAACTTATTTAGTAAGACAATGTGATGTACTTTGCCTATCTGGAGTAGTTATTTTCAAAGTGTATATGGCAGCTATAATATATATTTCAGATCCTGGCACCCGGTCCAGCTGCTGCTTGTTTCCCTTTGGGAAATAAAGCCAATGAATCAGTCTTAATTCTGGATGGTCCATAATTCTTTTACAGTCTTTTATAGTCTAAGAAAACTTGATTGTGTTCAGCGGTCATGACTTGAAACAGACTGGAGGTTGCTGTAATTTTCGCTGGGAACCAGGTCCAAGAAGTACAAATTTAAAAATATCTTCTAGCTACTTTACCCCTTTTATCTGGGCCAGACCAGAGCCTGTAGCTCAAAGACTGCAAGAAATGCTAAATCTAACTCGTATTAAATAGTACAGTGCATTTCTGAGAATATAATTGATTTTCAGAGCTGTTGCAAATCATGTGCAAGCACTGATTATAGATCTCATTGCAGGCTTGACACAAAGGAAAACATAACACTTATGTTCCAAACAAAAACCCAAATCCTTCCTACCTTTTTAACTTGGCCCCAAATTTTACATCTGCAGTTATCATAATTCTCAACAATGTTATCCCAGATTCCAATGCACACACTGGAGGAGGTTTTGGTTCTGTCATTAGTGTTCCCTGATGTGGGCAATAATTAATATTTAGTACTTCAGTGGTGAATTTCTGGAACTCCCCAGTCGCTTCATAAACATTAACATAATCAGTTCTCAGAATGCCTGACAAGGGAACCTTTTATCTTCCTTTTAGGGAAGAGCAGCTACAATATAGATCTTGACTACACTTAAGTATGGGCACAAACAAATTAACACACAAGGTGAGATAGGGTGTGAGCTTGCAGTACCTTAACTAAGCCACAGTCACTACTCATGTGTACACTCTGCCCAATGGTGAATGCGAAGTAACATGTCCCTCAGTGAAAGACAGGTACACTCTCCCTCATTTTCCAGCGGTAAGAGCCTGGGCACAAGTAGTGACTGTGGATCAGCTGACAAAGCTGCAAGTTCACATTTGCACAGCCTGTGATGGCTTATGCAGGTGTATGTGCAGTGCTTACCAATGTAGCTTTACTCTTATAGCTACACCAGCAACCCTCTCCCCAATGGAGGGGTGTGTGGAGTGGGAACATAGTGGGGACAGAGTTCTAGTGTTACAAAGTTTGGAGCCCAAGGGTGAGAAAGGAGTGGCTTTTGCTCCCCTTCCCTGCCAAAAGGGGGAATTGCCAGCATTCACAATTCTCCATTTTCAAAGGAGCTGCTGGGCAAGATTGAATCTAAGAATATATGCGGGAACCTTGGGTATACACATAGCTCCTTAACTTTCACACTAGGCACCATAAAGGATTGAGACTGGTTGTGATATAATCATAATCTTTGAAACGCAGAGCTCTCCTGCGGAGAGTGGCACAAAAAAGAACTCGATCTATGTTTTTTAACCCAGCATAGGAGGCAACATCTAACTAAGAGTGTTTTATTAGTGTATATGTGGGCAAACTGCTGTGAGCCTGGCTAATGATATTCTGGCAAACCTGCACTTCATACCAGTCCCATAAAACCATCTCTGCCACTGAAAGAAACAATCTATCCCGGCAGAAGCGTAACTGTGTCTACATTAAGCAATTCTGCTGGCATGGCTGTCAGTCACAACCAGCCCCAGATAAAAGTTTGCTATGTAAACACAGCTTGGAGATTCATTTGTAATGAGTCAGTCAAGCCCTGCAATGCATGCGCCAAAGGCATCTGTTTTTTGCCTTCAGCCTGCCTTCAACAGCAGTGCTGAGATTAAAAATGGTTTGCAGTGAAGCATTAGTGGTTTGCCAAGCTCCAGCAACAGCAGCCTTCGTAGCATTTAGAAGGCATGAAGAAAAACAGAATTACTGACAACAAGCCATTGTCTGCAGCTGACTCCCTTCTTGCATCAAGGCTAGACCACAGTTTTAGGCCACACTGCCTCTCATCGGGCTCCTCTAATGTATCAAGAAAACACCACACGCCCCTGCCACTACTTTTCATCTGACTTCCTCTTTTGGAGGAGATGCTCTACTAACCTGCCAGAAACAGAAGCAGCAGCAAAAGGCAAAGCATTTAGACCTCTGGTTCAACCAGCTAGCCACTGCCAGGGTGAGAAGCAGCTGCAATGTGTTTTGTGTCTGATCTCTGCCTCAGTCCCTTTCCCAGCCAAGCTCAAATCTCACAGCTGCTACCAGTTTTAAACCAAAGAGGTGAAGATTAAAGCAGTTCCCCCTCACAGCAGTTCATGTTACATGAATCCTAAACCCTCCCCTCTCCGAACTATACACATATCCACTAGTTTGCATTAAGTTTCAGCCCTCATTTATCTTCACTCCAACTATGCATGGAAAAATCTCCATTCTTGCATGGATCCCATTTACACATCCTCTTTTTCAGTCCCTACATAATTGATGCTACCTAACTTCCTGTGCTTCATCGCTATTTGTACATTGATTTCGACATAATTGGACATTTCCACCATCTTTTGCCCACTAGGGTTTGCAGCCAGAGCAGGACGATTCTGGATCCCCTCTCCTTATCTTGATTCGTGATTCTGCACAAGACACTGAACCCTGATGCCTCAATTTATTTAGCAGTAACATTAAGATGGTGATCACTAATGTTTCCCAGGGATGTTCTGAAGTTTAACTCCTGCCTGCAGAAAGCACAGGACACCTCTGATTTAAAAGTGTTTTTGGACAGTGAAATACAACACTTACTATTGTATAGTGTTAAAAAAGCCCACATTCCTAAGAGTGATTATAACTAAAGTTGTGCAGTCATAGACTCACTGCATCTTTGACTATGTGAGACCATAGGGGTAGGGACCATGCAGTAAGCAGGATTCTAGCACTACCAATGCACCAGACTTTTGGGGCCACACAGTTGGCCAACTTTACAGCTTTTGCTTTTGCTGTTGTCTCCTTTGTCCCATCAGCATCAATTCATGCATTCTGGCTAGTCAACAAGCAGCTCCTTCCTGGCTGCTTATCTGACACTATTACCTCTGCAGACAGAGGTAGGTCCACCTCTGAGCTGCCAGACATGTATCAACCAGTCTCCTGCACCACACTCCAGATCCATCTTGCTTGGTGACCGTTTCTCTATTCTGCTTCTCACTTCACTGGCCATCCCTTCAGCTGCTGCTCTTTCAACCTGCTACAGCAGCCTCTTACCTTCTTCCAAACTCTCCCCTACCTCCTTTACTCTTCCTGCTTTTCCTGGTTTCCTTTACTATCTTCTTCCCTTCCCGCAGTCCCAACCACAACCACTCTGGTCACCCTCATCTTTTGGAGTGACTTATCTCCTTTAAGAGAGAAACTCTAGCTGCCTCCATTTCCTCCACAAATATGTTTTTTTGGGGTTTTTTAAATGAATTTGAGGGTGGATGACTTCAGAGGAAAATATACACAACTTGCTTTCAAAATCAACTTTGTCTCTTCAGCAGAGCACAAACTTCTTGAACAGCTGAAGGCCATTTTCTGATTAAACAGCTGAAACCTGCCATC